TGTGTGTGTGTGTGTGTGTGTGTGTGTGTGTGTGTGTGTGTGTGTGTACTGAAACTGATTATCAAAGTGGACATCTGCGAGCCCTTGTTAGTTGAAACTTCCAGCACTGACAGTCTAATGCTGTGTGGGATAGCATGCATATATTTTGGGATATTTGTAAAGATGATGGGGGTGCAGATCTTCATTATTGCACTCCCTAAAAATGTTTTAGTCTTACTGCATTATGCAGGAAAAAAAAATGTTTAAACTGACCCCATGCAAGGGATTTTATTGTTTTGGCCATATCACTTGTTTGAGGGTGTACAACAAAAAATGTGCTTCAGGTGAGCCGGCACTATGAGCAAGTTAGGATTTAGACATCTCCTCCATAACACTCCATGATCTGATCTGTCCGATTTTTTTTTTTCATATTTGTAAAGACGGTGATTAGGGACAGATTTTTTACGATAACTTTTACAGGGAACTTTGACGACTGGAAGTACAGCACCACTTAAAGTTAAGTGTTTCACCTCTGGAAACATGGTCTGTTCATAAATCGTGGTCGCTTTTAGAAATGCTACATGACTGGAGGAAGAAGGGCCCGTGGTGTTCCGTTTTGAGCAAAAAGTATAAAAATCTGCAACAACCGAAGAATGCACTGGGCAACCGATTGTTGCGATGATCCACTTTCACGACGAAAGAAAAATCTGCTGCATCGCATACTTACATTGTTCCCTCTTCTCTGTTCTCGTCTCCTAGCCGGAGGCCAGTAGGCTTCTTCTCCCCGCACCTGAGATGTTGCCATGTGATGGAGCGACCTCGGAGCCATAAGCCCACCACCACCTCTGCGCCATCATCTCCAGTCCAAGCTGTTTGCCCACCGCTGAGATCTCACCACACCCCCACCCCCCCTTCCTCCCTTTATCTTTGCTCTGAGCCCTGGACAAGGCCAACCACATGACTCACCCACTGGAGCCCTAGATCAAGTAAGTACGACTGCCGTACGTATCAGCGACGTACGGCAAGCGAGACAAAAGGAGCTGGTTAATGTGCACCGTGTGTGCCTGGATGTGTTCCAGGCTTGTCCTGTAATGTTGCTAATGGGGCGGCAACTAACGATCGTTCTGATCTGTTATTCCGTCTGCTTCGATTAGGCGTCTCGTCTACAAATAATGTGAAGGTGAAAAATAGTCGTGAACATAATCTTATGTATTGTTTTTTAAGATCACTCATCAAAAAACCCCAAAATATTTAATTTACATATTTATAACATAGAAAACCGCAGCAAATCTTCACATTTGAGAGGCTTGGACCAGCAAATATTTGCTGCTATTCTCGATTCTTTCGATTTTTTAATTGTTAAGACTAGACTGTAATCCATCCCTATAATTTAATATCTTCCCTGTTTAAAGTGGTAGAAAGTAACCACACCTCTGCTCTTTTCCATATTGTATTATAAACTTATTTTGAAATAATAATTTGTTTTGCCCTCAGTCTTTGGAAATATTTCCACGATGACTTATCTGAAATGCAGCTTGTACGAGTGTATGGTGTAAATGCAGCGCGAGTTTTGCATTTGAAGGGACTCGTTTCATTGACATTTTGTGTTTTACTGTTCTGCAGCCATTTTTTTGTCCCTGTATGTGATTTGCAGAGCAAACTGTAGTTGTGTTAAGATCTACATAAAAAGATATATTATAAAACTTTGGACACTATCAATAGTCATGAAAAGACAGACCGTGGGTTACAAGGTTTATTTGTTTTATTCCGTACTTAAAACAGAGTGCATAACTGGCTGCATTTGAAACGGTCTTAATGGTATATCAATTTAATTTTGGAGAGGGCCAGTTAGTCCAGGATCAAATTGATAGTTAAGAGAGATAATAACTCTCTCACTGGCCTCTTTGCTTTATCCCCCTGTGCTGCTGTGCACTCTGAGACTTGAGGCTCCCAACACTGGCCGCATGGCTCTGAACATCCCAGCATGTGTGACTCAGCCTCCAGTAGTGTTTCAGGAGTTGAAGTGAGGACACCCACACTCACACTTTAAATCACACAGGGACCAGAAGAGTTCAATAAATGATGAATATTCATGTGTGAATTATCAGTCTGGCAGAGAACGTGTTTGAGATTGAAAATGCTCCGTGAAAAATGAGCAATGACACACACACACACACACACACACACACAGAGGAAGGCAGACATGCCTGTCTAAACAAATGACTTTATACGGTCATATTCATAATTTTACTGATATATTTATGGGTGTATTTTGTTCCTATTGATAGGATCTAGAGAGTACATTTTGTTTTCTTCCCAGAAGGCAGACAAAGGACACTTCCCCTTTTATGGAGCAATGTAAATACTTTTACATTTAGGTAATACGTACTGCATTATTTACGAAGGCTCATTTTCCTCATATATTATACTACATCTCACATTTCTGCTCCCATTGCATCACAGATGAGCAAAGTGACTATGGGCAGCAGTCCACTGGCTATACGTTCTATACACAAAGGAGTCTGGGGTAGTGTGTGTGAATGTGTGGAGTTTTGTGCAGTCCAAGGTAATCTCTTACTCTTTGGTAAACATCCTGGATCTGGGTGTACACAGATGGTGGGAAACAATGGGCTGGAACTTGACAGGGTTTTCATTGGAGAAGGACAACACCAGTGTTTACAAATCGGAGTATGCCTGCATTACTCATGCCCAGTTTCCATCGCATTCCGTAATGTTTCTAACATTGTCCACCTCCTTTTAATGTCACAGTATGAAAATCTACTTTTATAGGCCTTGTCAGAGTGAGAGGTTGCCCATTAAAGAGATGATTATGACTTATCTTTTGTTATCAAAGCGCCAGATCAGAATTCAGCTGTGTCCGTATATGCGTGTCCACGCTTGACACTTTTATGCGTCCTGCCTGATCGGTTGGTAATTGGATATATTTTGTGGTCAAACGAGCGGCTGTATAACAGCGGATAAACGCATGTTATTTCCTATAAATTCTTCTCTGTGAAAGTCCCCCGTTATTTTCTGCTGCTTGCTCTTCCTCCCTGCAGACTTGTTTTATCGAAGAATAGCCGCTAACAAAGCGCCGCTATATCCCACATAAACACATTTTCCTATAAATTCTTCACGATAAAAGCCCCCCACATTATTTAGTTATTCAAAAGCTTTTATTCTGAAGCAGCAAAAAAAGTGAAATGTTGGGTTTTCACCAGCAGTAACTAACACGATGCGAGCCGCCTCGGGATGTGGTCGGGCTGATCGGATCCCAGTGCTGGCAAGATCCCAGTGCTGGCAAGATCCCAGTTAATGCGTCCTGTGCGTGATGGAATGACAGACGTCCCGTTGACAAGTGTAACCACAGCCTTTGTTTAGAGAAAAGATTCGTCAGCCGCCATAAAAATAATTAGGCGATTACTAATTCATCATTTTTAAATGAGGCTTCAGCTTTATATTTGTGAATAATCACTGGTTTTCCTGGTATTCTATTACAGTAGATTGAATATGTTTGGACAGTTGGTCGGATAAAACAAGACATTTGAAAGTGACACCTTGGACTCCCTTTTAATATTATGGATCATTGTAGTCTTTAAAGTTATTTTTCAAGCAGAAAGGCCAAATATTTGCATGGTCCGACCTCTTACACATTTCTAACTTGCTGCTTCCTTGCCTTACATTATAGGACGTCACTGATTCATTTCCAGTGAAGGTGTTGCAGCCCTAATCACGTTTGCATTCGTCTTTGTCATTGTTTTTCGCGTGCAGACTTTCAAATGAGTCTGCTGCGTCTTAATTAATACACAACAATAACATGTGACAGCGGTTTGAATAACTGTCGATGATGTGAGTGGTGTGAGAGAGTTTCCGTGCATAACGGATGCTTTTAAAAGTATTCCAGGCTACATTTTGTGGTTATTTAATGGCCAGATCTGAATTTTGGAGCACCCTTTTCCTGAATACATGTGCATAAAGCAGCGTGGGATTTTGTTGCAAAATTACGATATGAACGACTGCGGACAGGAGGCTGACCTGGTGGTGTGACCGACTTCATAAATTTTAGTTTTTCTATTATTGTCAGCGCTTCCCATCGAGGTTTCACACTGAAAAGAAAAACATCTGCCGCCTTCGCATTAAAGACACATTTGTGTTTTGCATTTCTATGTACTTCGTGTGAAGCCCAAACGCGGCGAGCATTAGCTGACGACAGCAAACGAATGGCGCAGACCAGGAAACAGCAGGGCGTCTCGCAGTGACAGGGTTGTGTGAGAGACTGCAGGCAGATGGTAACAAACACAGCACGCCGAAATTATTCGCAGACTGCAGGGAGTGAATGAATGCAGCTGGAAGCATAGGCACATTTACCTTTGAACCCCGACGCTTCGCGACCTTGTTTATTTATTTTTCAGCAGCTCTTTATCACACTGTACAGATGAGTTAGTTCAGGGAAAACCGACACTTCAGTACCTTGAACTCATGACAATATTTAGCCTTACTCACCGTTACCGTCATAGCTTTTATTGAAGCACTTCTCTGAGAACGCTTCAAGAAACTAAGATATGATGCAGCAGGGGTGTCAACAGTCTATTAATGCAGCTGCGTCAATTAAATAGTCGTGACCGGTTTTCACAATTTTGAGGTATGAATCCTTTTAAATATCAATGAAGCTTTGCTTGTAACAGTCACACATACAACAGCAGAGGTATAAATAATAAAGCTTATCGGGGGACCTCGGGCTACGGGCTGGAAGCTCAGCCAGGTACACGCAGTCGCAGAGTCTCATGAATCTAGATTAACAAGCTTCTTGGATGCATTTACAGACATCAGATAGCTGCTCGATCCAAGACGCACAAAGTGACGACTGTAAGTGTAAATGAAGGCAGCCACACTGCTGCATCACTGTAAATACAAACAATCTTAATCAATATTTTACTTTAAAACATTCATTTGATTTAAATCTTTCCACACATGGAGAAAAAAAATCTGTCCGCTGACAATGAAGTCCAAAATGCATAATAAATAATTGCTCCCTTTTTGATATCTCTTAAAATAATTCATATTTTCATGTTCATACTAGAGTAATATGCGGTATTATATTGGGCGGGAACCCGCTGACATTATGAGCACTGGTCAAACACAGTGTTGCTTCATGGTGATTGCGCTCCAATACTCCACCTGTGTTCATCACAACAACACGCCTACGAAATATCCTATTGGTATCGGAGAAAAAACTGTGTTTTATTGATAAATTATAACAAGTGCTACTCAAGGGTAGCTAAATCTTGGATCAATTGTGTGATTCTTGCCACTTACTCTGGCTAAACAACCGTTGGTTTAATAAAAATCTCGCTGATTATTGCTTTATTTCTTGCTGCGATTGACTAAAACACTTCAGTGGGTGAACAGAGGCCGGAACATCAACACACATTCAGGGACCCACTGGTCTTTGTGGTGCACGGTGTTTCCTGCAAAGCTTATTTTGATAAGTCGCTTTGTTTGTTTTCTTTACTGTGATGTACAGTTTCAGTGGTTTTATTTAAGTCAATGCTGAACTCTGTTTCTCAGAACCTCGGCTAATTGCTGTGTCCGTTGATGTGGAGCAGGGTTCTCGTTCCTCTCTGGGGCGGGCGATCTCTTTGTGCGCTGCGTGTCCGAGAGGGGGGGAGGGAGAGGGAGGGAGGGAGGGGG